AAACACCTTGAGAGCAGGGACTATCCTTAATACATAGCACTGGGTCTGGACTTTGGTGGCCCATGGTGAGTACTTGTTGAATGACTGGAACTGGATATGGAAGGATGATTTGAGGTAAGGAGCAAAGGGAAATATCTGACTCACCCTGTCTGACCCCAAACAAGACTACCTCATGAGACTACCTCTAATGCTCCCTAAAGTTTCATTTTCCCTGAGGCCCTGAGCTGCTCGTCCCCAGGCAATATGATCTTTGAAATGGTCTCTTTATAATTTGTAAGGTGTGGACAGGGACCTTGGGCTCACTGTGGGATGCTTCTCTTCTGTGTAAATGGAGCATTGTCAAGTGGAACTTATCGATATGTTGTCTGTTCTTTTAAAATCTGCACCTGTTACTGCCCAGGAGTAGAGAGACAATTACTTTCTCTAGAAGATAGTATGAATGATGGAAAGACAAACCCATTGTCTAGTAATGGAAGCAGCTTTAATTCAAGCTGGTTTTGAAGGGTTTCTTAATAGAAATGCTAATCTGTTTTCCTAAGCTAAACATAGAAATTGCTGTGTATTTTTCTTATCAAACAATCATGCTATTTAGTGCTATTAAAATATATCATACCCAAGATATCATATTGTTTTGGTAGCACCATGAATTTAATACAGTTGTAGTAATGCATTAAAGTACACTGAATCTCTCCTTCAGCATTACCCGGGCTTGACACAGTTTTACATCCCTCTTAATTAGCTTATAGAAAGAGATTTGCTTCAAGTCATGTACCCATGTAATAAAGGTCCTTGTTGCCATATTTAGAGGACTATGTCCAACATAAATTCCACTCCCAAATCTCTTTCTCGTAATGAGTCTCCATCGACATAATGAGTTCCTTGGAAGGAAGGCATTGTGTAAATTAAAAATACTAATGAGTCATAATGATAATGAATTATTTTCCTTATTACTGAGAGCAGGACTAACCTTGGGCACATTTTCCAGTAGTTAAAGGTGCCTTCCCTACACCCAGGCCTGCCCTCTCCTGGGATGCTGAACCTTTAGTATCCTTTACTCCCCTTTTTTCTCTCTCATCAAAACTGAGTCTCCCTGATCCTAGCTAGGTAGTTGTAGGGAGGGAAAAAGTTACTGAGCTGGTTCACACTATGAGTGACCGAAGCCCCTGCTAGCCATTTCCACAGATGTCCTGCCTGTGCCTTTCCAGAGATATTAGCACAGAAAAACTGGACTTTCTGGGGATTGTCTGGTTACAGTAGCAAAAACACACTCAAACTAACTAAACAAGAATAATAAATTGGTAGTATCCGAGGGCAGCCTCACAGAACTCTGAGGCAGGACAGCTGGGCCCTGGGACCTTCAGAGTCAGGATCAAGAGCTGTGAGGGTGGAGACGAATGTTTCCGTTTCTCTGGGGTTGTTGCTGATACACTCATTGCCGCTTCCCTGGGCTCTCCTTGGCCACTGTTGCTGTCTTTCTGTGAGCCTGGGCCAAACGTGACCACGTTGAGTGTAAGAGTTCCGTTCCATACTCTGGGGAGGAGGGTTCGGCTGGCACAGCTTGGGGCAGGTGTCACTCTGAGTTCAGTCTGCTCTGCCCCTGGGGTCAAGGCCATATGGGAAAACCGTGCCTGACTCAGGGTAACGATTCAGTTGTGTATTTATTGTTGTTATAAACAAGGTGCAGGGGCCCATCCTTAAGAAGAAAGGACAGAGCATATTTCAGACTGAGGAGGAGTTTGCTTAATTCCGCTGGGACCCCAAAGTGTTAAAGAGCTTTGGTGCAGGAGAGTGATGTTGGCTCAGACTTTAACAGGAGCCCCGGTAGGATCCGTGTGAGCCGGACAAGGAACATCCTGAGGGAAAGTTGCCTCGCAAACAATGGGGCACTGGTGTGGGTGGGGACTCAGCATGGTTTACTAACTCCAGCAAGATTTGCCATTTGTTTCTCACTTTGTATGGACTTTCAGGAGATTTGGATAAGTCACTGTGTCTTTTTGAGATTCTCTTAGATCCCATTCTTCCACTGAAAAGTTGTACACATGTACAGTATACACATAAGTAAACACATATCACTTATATATTTTTATGTTATTATTTTTTCACATTCTATTTTTTTAATTAATGGAAGTGAGTTGTTTTTTAAAATTATAATTCATGTTTATTTTGATTATTTTGAAAAATAATATAATAGTTTATTTTTACATCATTTCGTGCCTTTTCCCATCTCAGTTGTAATCCCCGTGGGATGTTGTTATTTTAACAGGTGGTTATTGAGTTTCTACTTGCAGGTCTGAAAAGACCCTGAGGGTCCAGAAGGGCCCAAGAAAGCTGACTGGGAGGGTGGAAGATTAAACATTGCAGAAAGATGTTCATCTCCCTCCCAGGGAGGAGGCATGCCTGTGGGGTGTGAGGAGTCACATATGTTCTTTGGAATGAAAGAGCTGGTGACCTAGGAGAAAAAAATGCACAGAAACATATGGCCTAGATCTATTCCCGCGGGAGATGGTGGGCACTGGGAAGGGGAGGGGTATGGGCCTGCTTTGTGGACTTAAAAGGAAAAATCCCTGGCAGTCCTACTGTTCTCAAGGAGTTTTAAAAAAATACCTACCACCATGGGCCCTCCCTGGTGGCGCAGCGGGTTAAAGCACAGCACAAAGAAGCTTAAACCACTTCCTCATGAGTTTGATCCCCGCCTGCCCCGGAGGAGATCCACATGGTGTGGCAGACCTCTCCTGACCCGCCAGCTGCTCCCCTCAGCAGTGTACTTCATCCATCTGCCTGTTCTGCTCCCCGTTCTGTCTCTGGTGAATCCTCTCACCCTCCGCATCTCTGGCCTGCACCCCAGTTCTGTATGAATAAATAAATAAATTAAAAAAAAAAAAAAAACTACCACCTGGCCATGGCCTGAATGACAGAGCAGTTGGTGGGTGAGAGGGCCTGGCAGCCTTCCTGCAGGTGACTCTGCGAATGGCTACATGGCTCAGGGGATGAAGCGGAAGACAGAGCCTTTTGGGTAGTCACCTCTTGGGTAGGGAAGAGGCCTGCAGAGGGGCTGACCCCGCACGCCTTCAGCCTGGGGTAGGACAGCCTTCAGCCTGGCCTGGCCTCCAGGAGGCAGCTGCAGGCCTGCTGTGTGAAGCCTGCTTCCAGTTCTCATTTCCTTTACTCAAAGGAGTCATTTATGACAATCCGTCATGGCAGGCTGATGGGGCAGAGAGCTTTTGGCAGAAGGCCTTTCTACTTACAAATTAAATCACAGAGAAAGCCACCAGCAGTGAATACAAAGAAAGCGTTCAAGGCCACTGGATGGAGGGGAACAGCTGTTAGAGACCAAGTGTTCACCAGTTTTAACAACCCGTAAGTACTAACGAGGCAGGTACCTCCCAAAATACACTGGACCCTGGACAACTAAGAATGCTGTCTGGGGTGAAAGTCATGACTCAGAGGTACAAATGATAATACAGAAGTAGGATTACAACCACCGACATGCACAGAGAGCTTTCTGGCACACATACATTATTATTTCACCACGAAACTCTCTGGTCCTAGACGGTGGGCTGGCCGGCTATTAATTCCCTTCCAGAAGTAAAGTAACCAAGGCTGAAATGGCCCTGCTGCCTTGCTCACAGTCACAGTGCGGGTAGGTACCAGCCAGGGCTCAAATCCAAGCCCCTCCTCCTCCCAGTGCCCTTCCCATGAAGGCAGGTGCTCTGGTTGTGGGTGCAGGCCAGGGCATGGGTAGGACTTGATGGGGGAACAGAGTTGGTCAAGTAGAAGCTCCAGAAAAGAACCCAGCATCCTGCCACTGGGACCCCTTAATGTTTCCCACCTTACTTCATATAGGGACAAGAGGTTTTGATTTAAGTCCACCCTTTAATACAAGGTAACATTTATCCATTATTTTAAAAAATTACAGATAGCCACAGGAATGTAGAAGTAATGATTCTACCTCTCAAAGATAAGACATTTTTAGCATTTCAGTGCCTTTAAAATAGCAC